CTTCAAGCAGTAGATCCCTGCGCGGAGGCCCGCACCCTTCAGCTTCCTCATCTTCATCCCCATCCTCACGTTTTCCCAGCAGCAGTAGTAATAATATTGGCGGCAGCGGTAGTACCGGCAGTATTGGCGGCATTGGAGTTTCAGGAGGTGGCGGTGGCGGCAACAGCACCGCCGGTGGGCCGCGGTTTTTGCGAGGCAGCAGCACGGTGCTAGGTGGAGGTGGAGGCGGAATGGCGCTGCGGCGCGGTATGGCCGCTTTTTGGGCCAGCTATAACGTTTCGCTAGCTGAGCGACCGCTCTTCACCAAGTGCGTCACTGGTGCGTAAGAAATGCAGTAACATAACAGATGGAATTCATAATGAAAGGTCTTCGTATGGAGTTTAGAAAGGTACATTTCAATCCCAGTTTTTGTATCCCGTTGTGAGCACGCTGGCTATCTCAGTATCGTTTACCAGTTACTTTCCTAGTTTTTTGTTTGTTTTGCCTTTTCAAATTCACGTTACGTCTTGAAGCCTAATTTGTAGACATCAGGGATATGCTTATTCTCCCAATAAGGCATAAGCACCTGGACTGCCCTTTGTATCTCAAAAGCAATCTTATTGACGTCTTGACTAATAGAAAGAACGATGGATTCTCACATCCATCCGCGCACTGCCTTCGTCTATCACGCCTTGCACTCCGCTTAACACGCTCTCCACACACCCACACACCCACACACCCACCCACACACACACACATACACAACACACGTACACACATACATAACAGGTATCGTGGGTACGGTCCTTGGCGACCTCATCGCCCAGCTCTCCTCTCACGCGCTCTCCTCTACACCCGCCGAGGGGGGGGCCGCCATCGCCGCTGAGCCGGCGCGACTTAGCCGTCTGGCCCGCGGCAGCGGCAGTGCCGACTCCGAGAAGCCGTACACGGCGGGCAAGGACAAGGATAAGGACAGGCCATGGGAGGCCCAGGAAGGCGGCGGAAAACGGTACGGCGCATGAAATCTCTGCTGAGTTGACCCGGGGGGGCGGGGGATGGAGACGGGCGGAGCACCAAAGAGTCCCTAGGGAGGGCTCTCTGGTGTGTTAACACCCCGTCAACATCATCATCAATGACAACAACAACTACTACTATTACTACAACTACAACTACTAGGGTTGTACTTTTGGACGCCAGCCAGCCAGCTGTATCCCACTTTACTCTCTCCGCCGCCTGTACTGTCCCCGCTGCCTAATCCGTCTATCCGCCTATCCGTCAATTTTTAGCATCTATTTGCTTCACTCGCCAGTGGTTCGTCTTACCCGCCTGCCCACTTCTGACCCACACCCCTCTCTGCATTGGTGTTTCCCCACCACCACCACCACCGCCGCCGCCATGGACGACAACAACCCGGCGCCATGCTTGTCGTACGCCTCGAAACGCAGGTTCAAGTATGACGTGAAGCGGGTGCTGCGGCTGTGTTTGTGGTCGGTGGTGGTGGGCACGCCACTAGCACATTATTGGTTTCGTTTCCTCGACACGGTAAAGTGGGAGGTGGGGGGAAATGTGCTACTGCTGCTACTGCTGCTACTTGCTGCTACTGCTGCTGCTTGCTGCTACTGCTACTGCTGCTATTGTGTTGATGATGATGATGCCACTGCTGATGCTTCGTACATAAGGTTGTGGTTATCTAAGGGGTTGATGTGCTTCTAGTCTCTGGGGTTTACCTCCCTCCTCTCTTCTTGGTTGCCCCCTTCCCCTCACTCGCTCCCAACTACTTCCCCATCGCCCCTCTCCACCCACACGTCCCCCTTCCGGTCTGGATACGACTGCCACTACCCCAAATATCCCCCCCTCCGCCTTTTTTCCCCCCTCCACCCCGTCCCCCTCCCACCACCCCTCCCACACCCTCCCCCTCCCGCCCGTTCCTCACCCCCAACCCCCCAGCGAGTGATGCCTCAGGCGCCAACCAGCAATGCCGCTGTGGTGACGAAACTGCTGCTGGACCAGCTTGTCATGGTGGGTAGATGAAGGGTGTTTCGACTTTTAGGTTCAGTGCTTGGACGTGTGCGCGTGTGTGTACGTGTGTGCAGACGTGTCTGTACGTGTGTTTGTGTGTATTACGATGTGAGTGGTTCGGGCGATGGAGGGGCGAAGTGTGTTTTCCCCGGGGGTGGGGCGGTTCGGCTTGCTACAGCTGGGACGAGGTGGATTCGCGCCGTACAGGGCAGCTGCAGAAGCGGGAAAACAAAGGATAAAAACACACAACAAACGCACAGCCTTGCTTCAGGCCCCAATAACTCCCCCCCCAAACCCCCCAGCAATTTCCCCTCTTCTCCCGGGGCAATGTCAGCTATTTACGGGTTCTCTTACACAACCACTGGTAGCTCTCAACCCCCCCGCGGCCCCAAACACACGCCCCCTTCCTGCCGGCCCTCCCCAGTCTCCCGCCGGCACGGCATTGTTCTTCTTCGGCTTCCGTCTGCTCGAGGGCGGCAGCCTCCGCGAGGCCCGGAGCTCCCTGACCGCCAAGTGGGCGCCCACTATGGCGCTCAACTACGTGCTGTGGCCCGCGGCCAACATCATCAATTTCAAGTTTGTACCGCCGGAGCAGAGGATCCTGTACGTCAACTGTGTGGCGGTGAGTCCGTCAGTGTGCATGTACGTATGTATGTCTGTATGACGTTGGTTAGATTGTGGGCTTTTTAGCGGGGGGGGCCCCAGGGCCGAAACACAGCGCGGGAAGGGGGGGCCCAGACGCACACGGCTGGTTAGTGTCGTGCAGTGTAGCTTCCCCCATGCAGTGTTGTCTTCCCGCCTTCTCACCTCCCCGCCTTCTCACCTCCCCGCCTTCTCACTTTCCCGCCTTCTCACCTCCCCGCCTTCTCACCTCACCGCCTTCTCACCTCACCGCCTTCTCACCTTCCCGCCTTCTCAACCCCCCCTTCATCGGCCTCAACCCGCACATTTTCGACCTCCCTTCGTTTCCTCTTCGCCTCTTCACCCCGCCGGCGCCGCCGCTGCCTCCGCCGCCCAAATAGTTGCTTTGGAGCGCGGTCATGTCCCACATGGCGAATCGGAAGGAACCCACCGTCGCCGTCGGCCACAGCCACTCCGCCGCCACCGCCGACATCACTGGCGGCGTCGGGCCCTCAGAGACCGCGTTCAGGCCGTTAAACGTGCATGATAGCGTCGGCGGCAGCCTGCGGAGCGCACGGTCGCGCGCGCTGGCGGCGGAGCCGTCAGGTGCAGCGGTGTCAGCGCCGCCGACGTCGGCGTCGGCGTTAGGCGCCTTCCAAACCCACACTCACCATCAATAATACGACAGCCGCCACAATCTCCGAACCTTTTACTTCCAGTCGTTGACAGCACGGTCCAAAAGAAAAATATTTGGTGACACAGCCGCTCAAGGGCTGGCCTGCCGCCAACAGATTCTCACGGATGTGGGTTATTGTCCTGGCGGCTGCAACCACGGCGGCTGCGACGGCGGCGTGGTGAGAAATCCGTACGGCATCTGGACCAACAGGGGAATGTCTACTGTGTATGTATGAATGTATGTACAGATATGCTTGTATGTATGTATACAGAACCGTGTGTGAGGGCGAGCGTGCGGAGCCTTGACGATGCAGCGGTGACGATGACAGCGGGGCCTACGATAGCCTCTGGGGTTGCAGGGCGGCCCCCGCACCAGGCGCTATCTGGTATCGTCACGGTGTTAGCGGCGGATGTCTACAGCGCCATGGAGACGCGAAGGTGGAAATGCTTGTTCGTTTTGTTCGTTTTTTGTTCATCTGTTTGTGTTTGTTGATCTGTGTGCTCATTGTTTGTTTGTTTGCCAGCCTGGCCTTTTCGGTTTGGCCCCGCGCACCAGTTGTGGCTGCTGCTGTCCCCTGTCGCATCCGTTCAACCGCAAGACAGAGTCTGTTGTGTGGCGTTGCAGCATGTGGCTTCCCTTTTCAGTTGAGAAAATAGAACCGTTAACATAGTTGTTTTCTTTTGCTGATTTGCTGATGGTACATGTCTAGCAGATAGGGCTACGGTGCAAATGCTACGAATGCTATATGAATTCCTGATGCGACTGGAGGGATGTATGAGTGCGTGGATGTATGCAGGGTGGCTTGAGCTTTCCGTGCAGTTTTGAATGCGCCTGTTGTGAGCTGCTGTGCGCCAGTATGAAAGCAGGATGCAAAGCAGGCAGCAGGAATGTTTACATACTTCACTACCTAGCTCAAGTTCTCTTTCTCTCTCTCTATATATATATATATAGGCCAAAGCCCAAGCCTGCTGCTGTGCCAAAGCCTACGTAGCATGACACACAGATTGCAGCAGGCAGCTTGCTGCTGTTTATGTCTTCTACTGAAAGCAAATTAAGCAGAAACTTAAGATTGTTGTGCGCACAAGAGTGCTTAGTGCCGTGGCGCCGCGAGGCTCTCGCTCAAGAGCTCTCCTCCTTGGAATAGCTATAATACACTTCATTAAAACGGGGGCAACCTTAATCGTTTTCTAAATGGAGACTTTTGCTATACAGCCATAAAGCAATCCTTACAGCGGAGCCAGAACGGCTGCCAATGCTTACAGCACAAGCTCTGGGCTTCAGCAGGCATGTGAAGCATTATCACTGAAGAAACCACCATTGGCCTCCTTTGCCCCGAAAAAAGCATTTCAGGAAGAAGCGTTCCAAGAGATAGGGTCGCTCCTTTGGCGCGGGGGGTACATCCCAACTCCCAACACCCAGCACCCCGAATCCACCGATCTCGTAGCAGTGAGCAGGCTACCATGCTTCACGCACACATACATACATACATAGTTGGGCCGCTGTCGACCCGGCAGATTCCGTTGGATGCTGGTGGTGGGTGCGGAACCTGAGCGATCCACTGAGAAGTTGACTAGGGTGACTGGATGAGGGTGCCCCGGAATACCGGGGAAGGCAGGGTTTCGCAGGGTAGCTGCCACGGGCGAAGATACACCCCCTGTTTCACACATTATACATACATACATATAAAGTAATCACAGCCTATCCATCACTTGCACTTTCCGCTACAGCACGACTTCTTTACGGGCGCTGCCGCCGGTGCTGCCGCAGCCGCCTTTTCCGAGGGTGTCGGCATGTTGCTTGTGTACGACAAGTAGGCTGTCCACAGCACGCCGCATGCCGACATGTACAACACCTGGTACTTCAACGGCACGCAGTAGAAGTTGAGGCTGGCGGCGGGGATCCAGAACTTCCAACCTGCGGTAGCGCGATTTTGAAGCAAAATTGAAACCAAAACAATATTTTAAAGTTATTTACAAGTTTTTCAGATTTGTAATTTTAATAAAAAAATTAATTGTAATACTTCTACCCCGGGCCCCCAGCCCCCAACTTTCCAGCCCCGGCCCTATTCACCGTTTTGCATGGTGGGCCACAGGTCGTCTCTGATCTTGTTGGGAATGGCCTCCGCCTTGCCCATCAGTGCCAGGTTGTAAGAGAAGACGGTGCTCAAGGTGATGGGCGCCAGGATGAGCTGGTTTGCGGCCACCTGACCATCCATTATATAACGTCGAAGGGGCGAAACCATCGGAAACAAGACAGAAGAGAGGGGATGAAAAGGAGTGGGAGGAGTGGGAATCGGTGGTGTGATGGGGGAGATTGGGATTGGATGGAGGACGGGGAAGTTGTGTGAGGGCAGTTGGGCAGGGTGGCAGTCAGCAGGGGTAGGTGTGTTGAGGGAGGAGGAACCCTCCCCTGGCAGTCAGCAGGGGTAGGTGTGTTGAGGGCAGTTGGGCAGGGTGGCAGTCGGCAGGGGTAGGTGTGTTGAGGGAGGAGGAACCCTCCCCTGGCAGTCAGCAGGGGTAGGTGTGTTGAGGGAGGAGGAACCCTCCCCTGGCAGTCGGCAGGGAGGTGTGTTGAGGGAGGAGGAACCCTCCCCTGGCAGTCGGCAGGGGTAGGTGTGTTGAGGGAGGAGGAACCCTCCCCTGGCAGTCGGCAGGGGTAGGTGTGTTGAGGGAGGAGGAACCCTCCCCTGGCAGTCGGCAGGGGTAGGTGTGTTGAGGGAGGAGGAACCCTCCCCTGGCAGTCGGCAGGGGTAGGTGTGTTGAGGGAGGAGGAACCCTCCCCTGGCAGTCAGCAGGGAGGTGTGTTGAGGGAGGAGGAACCCTCCCCTGGCAGTCGGCAGGGGTAGGTGTGTTGAGGGAGGAGGAACCCTCCCCTGGCAGTCGGCAGGGGTAGGTGTGTTGAGGGAGGAGGAACCCTCCCCTGGCAGTCGGCAGGGGTAGGTGTGTTGAGGGAGGAGGAAGTCTGGCAACGGGCAGGCGTAGGTGTGTTGAGGGAGGAGGAACCCTCCCCTGGCAGTCGGCAGGGGTAGGTGTGTTGAGGGAGAATGGGGAGTTGGCAACGGGCAGGCGGGTTGCAGGGGGCAGGGAGGCGCCGTTGGCTGCGTTCTACACCCCGAATGAATGATGCTAGGGCGGCCCGCCGACGGCGTGCGCTGCGTGGCGCGCCTGCGTGATGTCATGCCGCACAGTGGCTTCTAGTGCTTCTACGAGGCGGCTGGGGGAGAGGCGCTAGGAGGCACTGGCGGGTGCATGAATTAGGCGCTGTTTTTGGCGGCGCACCGCACCTTGCTCAGGAAGTTGGTGGTGTTCTTCACTGGCATGAGCCAGTCCAGCAGGTTATACCAGTAGTACTGGCAGGGGCCGTACCAGGAGAAGCCGTACCCAGCCATGCGCGCTGTGCGCAGCGGGTCGTAAGCGGGTAGGGGACTGCCCTCGCGCGAGGCTGCCTGGCTGATAAGAGCCTGTGCCAGCAGGTCGCCGACGGCAGACAGCGCGCCAGAAGTAAGTCCTGCCTTCAGCGGGCCTTCCCATCCCTGCATGCATTACGTGAGGAAGTCGCGGGAGCAGGGCAATTGCGCTCAATTATGTAGGGATTGGCCGCCAGGCGCCTTCCAAGTTGACGACTTACGGCAACTTTTTCAAGGTAGCTTGCGCGACCACTAGGACCGGCTCCAGATGAAGACGAGCTAGACGACCTGCGCACGTTCCGGTGCTCTCTTCGTAGTCGGCCCAGATAGGGTCTCCCACCCCAGCCACCTGCACCTCCAATCATACAGGAAAAGCCTCGCATACCTATCCTTTATTATGACCGTAATGTTGAATGCTGGTGTAAACTTGGAATGTTATCACTAAAGTGCGAAGTTGACTGAGCAAAATACGGCAACAACAAAAGCCTGAGTAAGTGCATAGTGATAGCGAAGCAGCGTTTCAAAGAATAAGCAGTATACACGCAGATTTAGCCTAATGTTTTGAATGACGTCGCAGCTGTCACTTACAGCTTTTGCCTCGCAACTTGAGAGGCCAGCGAGCCAATTTAGAAAGCATGAGTGATGAAACCGATTCCGTAGGTAGCATCAGTTTCAACCTGAGATTATGCGCTCGGCTGCGAAAGCCTCAGCATCCTTCATCAGCAACATCCTCCCACTCTCCACCAAAACCAAAACTCCGTGTCCGGGATACTGTGGTGCAGCGCCTTCGTCATAGAAATCACCAACTTGCCGTTGAAGAATTCCTTGCGCAGCAAGATGCTGCACCGAAGGTCTCCCAAGAAACAGCGCTGAACCATTACGCGCGCCGGGCCTACAATTCTCTACAAAGCCGTGAGATGATAGCTGCAGAGGAAAAAGAGGCGGCAATGCTCCGGTATGAGACCTTTACGCAGATGCTTGGAAAGGAAATCAGCCGTCGGCATTTTCGTACAGCGCACCGTTACGACACTGGCAGCAAGTACCCGGCGGGCCCTGTACAGACTGACCAGCACGGGCCCAAAGAACGGGACACTTTGCTCACGTTAATGGCTTCTCGCAAGCTCCTTTCCATGGCGGACGTGCTGCTTGCATATCCCGGCTCAGTACGCGTGGGCCTACAACCGGTTTCTGACAATCCACGCACGACGACAGGAGCAGCGGGCGCGGCTTTGGTGGGTGCGGTTCCGCCCACGGGCAGCCCTCTGGTTGCACTTCTGCACCCCGAAACTGGAAGTGGAATCTCCCAGGTTTCGGAGCCGCCCCTCGTAGCGCCCTCCCTGGATGCGACACGCTATGCATTGGCGCTCTACAGCCCACGCAGCAGCCCCCAGGCCGCAGGTGCCGATGCCGGCACGCATGATCATGCGCGCGCGCGAGAGAGAAGATTTACCAAAGAAAACTCGGTTCGGTGGTGCCGTGCCGCGACCACCGAGGCCGAGGCCGCGACTGGTAGGGCTTGTACCGGCCCCACAGCAGCAACAGCATCACAGGTAGCAGAGGCCACGGCTACATCGTTACATGGCGGTATGGTGGTGACTTCTCTGCATCCTGCACAAATCCGAATCCGAGGCCGCTCGGCTCCATGTCCAGGTGCCGGCGGGCGGGCGGGTGCACAGACGTCGCTTCACACTCGAAACCCTGCTCGACGTGCTCGCCGCAGGTGGTGGTGGTGGTGGTGGTGGTGGTGTGCAGCTGCAGGAAACAGCAGCACTTGGAAGCCGCATGCGCATGCGGAGGCCTTCAACGGTGGCGGACGATGTGAAAGCGGACGAGGCAGGCCAGGCCCTGGAGCAGGATGAGCGGAAGAATTGGGCCTTAGGTGACGCCGTTACCCGGCAACGACCGAACCCATCCGAGGGTGGAACCGGCATTGGCAGCAGCGACAGCAGTAGTTGCAGCCTAACAGCATCACCATCTGCTGCTGCTGCTGCTGCGGTTGTTGTGGCCCCGGCGCCAACCATCCCTGCGTCCCTCGGAGCAGCAGCAGCAGCGGCGGCGGAGGCGGAGGCGCTGCCAAGGCCTGGTCTGTACCACCGTGCAGACATGCCGGTGGGTGTGCAGCAGCGCGTAACAGCGGATGCGCTGCAGGACATGCTGACCGCATCCAGAAGTCTGGTTGCACAGGCGGAGAGCGTGCTCGGGACGCGCGCGTCTGGGTGCTAGTGTTAGTGTGTTAGTGTTCGTGTCCTGTCACGTCATCATGGCGCGGATGCCCTCAGAGCCACCGGCTGCATGTCAGAGCCGTTCCGAGGTTTTCAGCCATGGCCAGCTTGCCAAAGGCAGCAGCAGCATCCTGATATGCCAACGACGTTCTAACGACGCCTTGAAGTGCTTTTGTAAAAAGTCAGGCATACACAATTGGAATGTAGCGCAAGACGATGCAGAAGCGCAGAGCAATGCACACATGCAGACAGAAAAGAGACTTGGGGGACCCGCGTGGGAAGGATGTTGGGAGGGTTGCGGAGGCAGGGCATTTTACAGCAAGCTGCGACAGCAGGGGGGCCGTGGGGCCATCAACAACGACCTTACACGTCACGCCGCCGTTCGTCCTAAATAGGAACCTTTCAGGCCGGTATCAAACGAAAGACTAAAAAACAGTCAAAATTATCCCTTTGTCCTAACAGTCCTAACAGTCAAAATTATCAAGTGTCATCAAATGTCGTACACGCACGTGGGAAGGATAGGGGACGAGCGCAAACACGACGATAATGTGCCGCCGATTATGCAAGCGCTGAAGAAGGGCCATCAGCCTGTAGGTGTTGGCCTCCCGCGGCGGGAGGTGTAGCACTTGGGGCTTTACCCATATCCCGTTTTTATTAGTCCAGCCTGATACAAGCTTTTACAGAGGGTGCCCTCAGGGCGCTTACAGCTTTTGCCGTAAATCCTCTTCCCCCTCCCCCCCGGGAAACACGGAGCGTTGTTTAAGCGTCTCGATGACGGTAAAGAGGCCGTGCAGGGTGTTTTACTGGCCTTGTGCAAAAAGGTTTTGTTGTCGAGTCCTTGAGCGCAACAGTTCAGAGAGGCATTGGATGCGTCGCGACATTGGATGCGGCGCTACAGCTCCGACACCGAGCGCCTTGAGGACCGCACACCCTCTGCTGCTCCCCACCCACCACTGCGAAACCCACCCACAAACGTTGCACAAGCCCACATCAAAAAACTGTGTGTGAAAACTCAAACTCAACTCCACTGTCCACTGCCCACTGTCCACTGACAGCTGCTGAGAACGATTTAAAAAGACGGCCCTTGCATCTGATTCATTGAACAACTACTGCGTGTTGTGAAAGTACGTGAGCTGCCAGACTTATTTTAACGAGTTATTGTTAGGGTCCATGCAGTTCGACGTCTGCAGAGACACACACACACACATACATACATACATATACATATATATACATTTATACACACCCACGCACCGCACCGCACTGGCGCCGCGCCTCCTCACCTCCCCAAACATTAACTTTTATCTATCCCACAGAGTACTACAGATATTGTAGGACGGGCGCAATACGCTGCACTGCATCAGCCGAAGATTCCAGCGTGTGCGCAACCGTCTCCTGCTTTAACCTCCATTCGTGCAACATACATGCACAACCGAAATTAACAATATCAACCGAAATTAACAATATGAACCGAAATTAACAATATCAACAGAAAATAACAACATCGACAGAAATTAACAACAACACCAACAACGACAAGATTCTTTATATAACGAACGCAAGGAACAGCAACAGAGGCCCAAATAAACAGTTTCAAACCTCATAACGTCCGCCTTCTCCATACTGCCACATCATTTGCCTCCCGTACGCACACAAGTTTTGTCGAGGCTGCAGTTATGTATTACAACATGACGGGACAATAGGGCAATGCGACGCCTCACCAAAAAGCCGAGAAGACGCCTGGATTTGGGCGCCTGCAGCCCGCAGGTACCTCCAGGAAGGCATCTGCCGCAATCGCCTCAGATGCCGATTCCCGACCTACCCCCGTTCACCCAAGCTGTGTGAGACAGGCCCTCGTGATGAAACAAGAAATTTTCCGGTAGATTATACGAGCTCATCTTACGCTTGTCTGTGCCTGAACCTGCGCCACAATCTCGTATGCCAGCTGGTTTCCGTGTCCAAGCAGGTGGTCCCTGCCGCCCACCGGTGCGCCACACTCGTTACACGAGGCTGTTTCCACGGGGCTGCCGCAGTTGCCGACGATATAGACGTGCTTGTTAGGGCAGCTGCGACGCATTGAGAGCGGGCAGAAAGGAACACCGGCGGCCACGGGGCCCTCATCTTATTTAACAATAACCAGCGGGCGGCAACAGCCAGATGCAGAAGCCGTTTGGCGGCATGCTGGGCAATGCTGATGGCCTCTTGTGTATGTGATGGTGTGTATGTGTGTATGATGGGGTATGTATGTGTGTTTGACGGTGTGTGTGTGTGTGTGTGTACGTGTGTGTGACGGTGTGTGTGACGGTGTGTGTGTATGTGACGGTGTGTGTGTGTCCAGACGTGCTGTCATCGGGCGGGCAGCTGAACCTCCTTTTCTACACAGATGCTCTGTTGTGCTCGTGTCTTGTCCAGTGGGGTGCCCGAGTCCAATGTTCCCAGCCTTCTGGGAGCAGGTGGCCCTGCACCACACCATGCTTAGGAAGTCGCACGCGCACACACATCAGCAACACACATAAATTCATAAAACATACACAGCAGACACACACATCCATCAGACACACACACATCCATCAGACACACACACACCCATCAGACACACACACACACACACACACATCAGACACACACACACACACACACATCAGACACACACATCAGACACGCACATGAAGACATGGCTGCTCAACCAGGCAACCGGGTCAGTGCCCCTGCATTCGGCCGCGGCCACCGCCATCAGCACCTCGCGCTGCTCCCCCACGGTGACCTGCAGTCAACCAGTTGCTCCACAGCTGTGATGGGTGTGCTCGCGGCTTGCGGGCTGGAGCTTGCGGATCCCGGGGACGGTCTTGAGGACAACAGCGAGGGGGGGGCTACAGCACTTGAATATTCCATGTTCCGGAGGCAGCGGAGGCTTTAAAACAGGTGCATGCAGTAGCAGGTAGCGGTACGGATCCTCGACCACGTCACATCCGACTGTGATAAGGATCCGTGCGTGACTCCGCAAACCTCCGCAAACAGGTCTACGTGTCCAACAGCGCTGTTCACAGATATGCTTTCTAAGTGTAGAAAAGGTAAAGGCAAGATCGAATACGCGGAAGAAAAAGAAGAAGAAGAAGACAGAAAAGGTGATATACAGCCGGTGTTGAGAACGGGGGCTGGTAGTTGATGATATCTGGGGATAATGTGCAGCAGATACCGCCCCGATGTCCGCCTGTACCGCCGGCTGGATACCGATATACGTCCTCAATTGGACAACCTCCGGGTTTTACACTGAGGTCATCTGGCTGGAGGGGGAGCGGAGCGGCAGCAGCGGCGGCCCTCTCGCCATAGCGCCTAGCTTCCCAGGAACCTCCACATATGTGCCGCCTTTGTCAATCATTATTTATCCATCATCATCATCATTATAATTATTTCCCCTGTCCCTCTTTTCTCTGATTTTCTTATGAAAAATGGTACACAAGAGACGCACACCTGATGGTGGGAGACGGAGGCCGACCCGTGGGTCCTCGGCATGGCTCCCTCCGGCTGAGAGAGAGCTTTTGGCAGACGGTGTAAAGACAGGTTTCAAAGAAGGCCGAACTCCTCTCCTCCTCTGATTGCCTCCTGTTCGCGTCGCTCAACAAGTTTATTATCTGTCACCTTAAATAATGTTTCCTTTGTTTTGACTCCCCGAATTTACGACTCATTACAACTAAGAAGTGAGGGCCCAACCGCACAAACCAAGGTAAGGATGTGCATCCCGTGACAGAAAATTCTTTTACGAAAACATGTCTTGTCATCGCTGCAGTACAACGGCGTTGAGGTCTAAGAATGACCTACCTCTTTATCATAAAAATGCAAAGTGCGATGCATGCTTTGCACGCGGCGTCAAGGAGAAAATAACGGTAAACTCATCGCAGTGGATGAAAAGCGCGGCACCTACGCTCTGCCACGCTTTTCCAGCCACAGGCCTGCAATCCTTTCCAAGCGAAAGGCACACACCTCAAAAGAGTTTTGAGGGCTTTTGGGGGGGGTGAAAGTTTGGGGCAAGGCAAGGGCCCACATCATGAAAAGTCCGTCTTCGCGACCCCAAGTCTTTAAAAGTCAAGAACAATTGAAACCGACAACGGCTTCGCCATTTGTCCACATGGCCTCTTGAGAGAAAAAAACAACTAACGCACACCTCAATACAGAGGTGTGCGTTGTATTATCTACACAGACGTTTCCATTAAATGAAGACATGCTGGACACGTCCCGGGTCCACATCCTGAACGCGACCAACAATTAGTTCGCTGACAAGTTACAAGTTCCGCAAAAGTTCGCTTACATAAACAGAGAGCGCCCGTACAACTGCACGACAAGTGAATTGTAAATACAACCCCTTCACAACCGTCAATCACTACATTGCACAGTTTTTTTTCAACACAGGAATGAGCCGAGCCGCCTACCGCGCACGGCAAGACGCGTGGAAAGGGGTTACGGCTCAGTCCTGCTGCATCACATCGCCATCGGGGACAGCAGCGGCGGCGTCGTTGCCGTCGCCGCCAACTGCCGCTCCCTCGCCATCCTCATCGGCACGCGTCGGACGCGCCCGGAAATGCCGCCGTCCACCGCCCCGCATCGTGCCGCCGCCACCGCCGCCACCTCCCTGCACTGCACCTGCCCCCCCCCGCCCTGCGCCAACACCGCCCTCTCCAACATCCCCTAGCTGCTCCTCCCCTCCATCACCCGCTGAGACAAAGGCGGCTCCCAAACGTCTTGCAGCAGCTCCCGGCGCGTGGTTAGCACCAGAAACTGTCACGTTGCCGCCGCCAGTATCGCCAAGTCGCCGTTGCGGAGGCCGATCCGTCGCTTGCTGTTGCTGTTGTTGTTGTTGCTGCTGCTGCTGCTGCTGCCGCGCCGCGCGCGGCCGGAAGGTGATGCCGCTGCCGAAAGTGGTTTCGGCGCGCTCCGGGTCGTGAGTCGCTAGGTCGGATGCGGAGGAAGCCTCGACGGCCCGCCGCGCCTGCGCCAGCGCCTGTGTGTGTACGTATGTACGTATGTATGTGTTTTTTTAAGTGTTTGAGTGATAGGAAAAAGCTACCCCAGTGAACCCCCCGCTTCGAGAAGAAAGAGCGACAGATTCGCGACCAAAATGCATTCGACCGTTATTACTAGAAAAATGCGTGGAAGGTGGTGGAGGTAGTATGATGCAAAAGTACGCCACAGCACGAAAAGTGATACACACTGGAAGCTGGCGTGTGAACTGGGAGTAATCGAGGCGCCTGTAATCCCGGAAAGCCGCTATTGTATCGCTTTCCAGGCCCAGCAGCTCACCTGGCACCGGCACACATCTTATGTACATACATACATACATACATACATACATGCAGGGCGCCCACGGCCCAGTAAAATAGTTCACATAAAAAATTGTGGTCGAAAACATTGCAATGATCTAAGGATTTGCGCCACGCCAGCAAGAACTGCCGAGGCTGGCAATAATGGCACAAGGCAGTGCGGCCAAGCTGCCGGTTCCAAGTGACGGGAGTGACAAAGGTGATGTGCGAACAGCAGTCGTTCTCCCGATCACCCCCTTTGGAGAAGAAGAAGGACGAGTAGCACAGGAAGAAGAGCCACATGCACCACCGCCACCCTACCTGCCGCATCTCGTCCTCCGCCGCCTCCTCCCTGCTCTCGCGCGGCCCGCCAGACCTCCATCCACGCCCGCCCGGCGGCGCGCCACCGTTACGACCGTTGGACGAGCGATCACCACTGCCAACCACCAACTCCTCATCCAACGTGTACGCCGTGTACTTGTGCGGGTTCCGTACGTGGTCAGGTACGAAACCCCGTCGCTGCCATTCCAGACGTACTCGGCCGCCGCCGCCGCGACCGCGGACGTCGTTGCCGCCGCCGCCGTCGCCGCCGCCGCCATTGGCTGTCCTGGCATGGCCGTTAGACCCCTTGTCGCCAGCTGCTTCGTGGCCCCCCACAGCCGCACCCGGCGGGGAGTTCAACGCGCCCGCAGCAGCTCGCCTGAGTGGCGGACAGACATACACGCATACACGCCCGCGCATCCTCCTTGCGTCATCATTCATACACACGTCTTGGCGTGCGTGCCGAGCCCCAAGCCGGTCGGCCCTACAAGCCGGTCGGCCTGTGCATGGCCCAGGTTCACTTCGCTTCACCTCCGAAACCGGACCCGCGACGCAGCCATTCTCCTTCCCCCTCCCCAACTGCCAGATCGCCATCATTACCATCACCATCACCACCACCACCACCACACACCCGCCCCAGCGGCACCTCCGCACCCGACACAACCCACATCACACACAATCACACACACACACCTCGCACCGCAAACCCCCGGTTGTCCCCAGGTTCACCCCGCAATCGACACTCACATACCGCGAGGGGGTGGACGCGGCGAAGTCCGCCCAATGCACTCGCCGGCCGCCGCGCTGCCGGGGCTGAGACTGCTGCGGCGGGGCCTCCGCCGCGGCGGCACCGGTGATGAAGTCGGCTGCACCTGACGGTGCCCCGTCCGACTGAATCCCTAGCGATTCAGACATCATGACCCCTGCAAAGCGGTCGCCGGTCACTACTCGGACCCGTACATCCCCTGGAGCGCCCCCCGGATCCGCTCCGCCGCCCTCTGCCACCGCGGGCACCATCTCCACATCACCAGAGGCCACAATAGCCCCTAGGGGTTGTTGCTGGTGCTGCTGGTGCTCTGGTTGCGTTGACCCGGCTTGGGTTAGAGCGACGTCGATGGTTCGAGAGCGTTTCCTGGACACGGCGTCGCCGTCGCCGGCCAAGCCTGGACTGATGTTCATGGCGGTGGGCTCCCCTGCAGCAGCATCAGCGGCTGTGACGGCTGCGTCGCCGCCGCCGTCGCCCGTCCCAGCCTCTTGAAATGATGCGCCGTCGAGTTCCCCCTGTTGTCGCTGCTGCTGCTGCTGCTGCAGACGGCCGTGCATTCGCTCCCATGCACTATCCAAAGGTACCTGCGGGAGACCAAAATACCGCTATCAGTTTGAAAGAACGCCTAACAAAGAACAAGTGTAACGGAACAACAACCGAGCTGCTGTGCATGGTTACGCCTGGAGCAGCTGTGCATACACGATGCTTGTGTGTACACACGCGCTATTTTATTATTATTACTATTATTGTTCTCTATGCAATTCATACTTCAATTCATGTGTTCAAGTGGCCTCAAGAAACCTCCCAATCGGTAACAAAAACAACATCGCATTATTTCACTAACATAAAACCGAACTGCGGAGGGCCGCCCCGAATCTGTTGCAAATATCCCGCCCCCTAATTTGAGTCCCCTTGCCCTTGCCGGCCCTTGCAAGGAGCTGTCGTCATTCCGCAGGCAATGTCCCCCCACGGGTTACCCCCGCAGAAATACCTCAACGCAGCAGCGCCCCTGGCATTCCGTAGAGCACACTCCACCAAAACTCCAAATACGCACCTCCGTAAAGCCAGGTGGCCTTGCATCCCTGAGGCGATTGCGGGGATCCATCGTGCCCGTAGCCACTCGGTCAAATTCGTCCTCCTCAGCCTCAGCCTCAAAGGCGCGACGGGACGACAACGTTGCTCGCATCCGCTCACGCTCCCTAGCTGCCCGTGCTTCGTTCTGTTCATGTCCAAAGCCGGCTTCCTCGGCGTCTGCATCTGGGTCGGCGCGCTCAAGCGGTGGAAAGTGTTCGCGCGCTGTGCCGGCGACATCGTCATCATCATCGTCTGAGTCCACCAGCCGACTAGGCATCAGAGGCTTCAAACCCTCGTTGGGATCCTCCTCGTCGCTGCTGTAGTTGTAGTCTTCAATGCCGCCGCCCGCCCGAAACGGCTGGATATCTTGGCGCAGGGACCATCCGCTGGCACCTGACGCAGGCCCGAGCGAGCCGAAGACCGCGTCCAGCCGTGCCGACAGACTCGCGTCCTTTAGATCTGGCCGCTGTGCAATTGGGACGCCTTTCGACATTGTTTTCGGAAGTCGATGTTACCGTAAGTAATGAACTTCCCACGCATATGAGGCTGCGCCAGAGAGCAGCGACGGTAAAGTTATCGGAATCTCGTTATTAAGTTAAGTAAGAAAACCTATGCTGGAGAGGCGTCATCACATCTGGGGCCAATTTCGACGTCGCAGCTTAGCGTGACTAGCTGCGACCAACGGAACAGTCGACAAACCAGGAAAAGAAGTCCTCGGGAGGGGCTCTGCATGCGTCTTGCCGAATTAAGCCCGTGTCAGAATGCTTCTGTCTATTTAATTGGCCGTTGGCGCCGTACGTAACGGTAGACAGACCCCTTAGGCCGCAAATGCTAATCAAGTACTACTTCATGAACTCCGGGAAGCCACACGCGTTTGCGTATTTGCTGATCACTATGTCTTACATGCATCCACCCGCTGTCCCTCTCATTGTCAAATCTGTGAACAGCCAACCACCCGCGGCCTCTAAGACATCTGACAACTAAGAAACGCAACAACGCCCAATCATATGCCCGATGTCACACTACCCTTCAACTGCCGCTAGGCCAGAATTCGTTGCCGCGTTAGTTTACCTCACGCAACACGACTTGCTGCTGTATACTCGTGAGCTTGCCTCCTCGAACCGGCAGATTGCTCCGGTCAGATTCCTGTCAGATTTCTTGAAAGCACACACATTTCGAGAGTCCTCTGGTCATGCACCTGTATACTTAATGCCATGAAATTGTCACTCACTCAATTTCGGCAGCTCAACATCACACAACGTCATCGTGCCACATAAATCAGCGAACCTGTTGCCTACCCGCCAAAAAGCCTGTGCTTACCTGCGCCAACAGGACTGCGAAGACCAAGACCAAGCAAGTGCTAAGACCAAGACCAAGCACCCACGCAGGCAGTTCCAGTGTGATTCAGGGCCCCCGGCCATGGCCATCCCTGACCCCACATGCACCCGCTTCATGCCAATCCCTTGCCATCTTGCATTCTGCACGCCACCCCCCAACAAAAAAACCAATATCCACTCTGTATCCCATTTATAATATATATAATCCTTGCAATATTCTAATTCTCCAATTCTTCCAAAAACGACGTACGACATCTTTTAGTTTGGGAATGAAGTAGACGTGAATGGAAAAAAGATACCTGGATACAGCTGCCCTGCAAGTGTATCATGCCCTGCTATAGACACACTTTGCAGCATCAGCATCAGGCAACAGTAGCAACAGTAGCAACAGTAGCAACAGCATCAGCAGTATAATAGCATCATCAATTGTATGAGCATCATCGGCAGCAGCAGCAGCAGTAGCAACATGCCGCTACAGCGCAGTAGTAATATGCTGTCCCTGCATCACCATGCTTATTAACACGTTCCCAGATGTCCAGAGTAGGTTGGTGGTGTCCCCCCCCTCGCCCATGCAACGCCCTCCCCCTCCAAAGGAGAGCCCCCCACCCTACTCCCCCCCACCCTACTCCCCCCCACCCTACTCCCCCCCACCCTACTCCCCCCCACCCTACTCCCCCCCACCCTTCCGATGTTCCGTCAGTCCCACTCCCTCAAATCCCATCAACTACCGCACTGCTCGCACGGTCGCTTCCGCCTCCAGCACTGCCGCCAGCAGCGGCGGTGTCGCCGCCAGCAGCCGCTGTGACGGCTGCGGGCACAGTGGCTGCTGGCGGTGCAAGGACCGCCTCAAGCACTGCGGAATAGTCGCAGTCCTGTAGCCCCTTGGCGATGGCGTTGGAAATGACAGAAGACAGGGCGGCCGGGACGGCGGTGTCCAGTCCCGCAGCGGCCGCCTCGCTCTCGAACAGCCGCACGTCCTTCAGCAGGTGCTGCACGAGGGGGGCGGCCCAGCTGGAAGTGCTGATGCTGGTGATGCTGGTGGTGATGGTGGTAATGGTGGTGATGGTGATGGTGGTGGTGGTAATAGTGGTTGGGGGGATAGGATGTCGTACACGGTGAAGAGGGCCGCTCGGAGCCAGGAAAGGACCCCAGAAGGCTCCGCGGCATCCATAACAGCACCACGCCGTACACTCTGCCGTACAACCCGTACTTACCTTTGTCGGGAAGTTGGCAGCTCCGTAGTCCCGGTCCAGCATCTTGCCCAGCTTCTTGTCGTACGTGGGGGCGTACAGCGCCGAGGCCCTCAAGATGCTCATAAACTTGTCCACGGGCGCTCCGCTGCGTTGAACCAAACCGAGGGAGGTGGAGAAACCGACCTGTACGGCGTTGGGGCGGGGGAGGTAAGGGGTAAGGTAGGGGGGGTAGGCGGGGGAGAGAGGGGCGATGTACGGCAGTGTACACAGAGGAGTCTAGTACGGCAGGGAACCCAGCTGTCACGGCAAGCGTCCAATCCACGAAGCCATAGGTTACTGGCCCCTCAGCCTTCCCGCCCGGGCCCCTACATCCCCCTACACACATATACACATACATACACACACACCACCCCGCCACCTCACCGTGAGCGAAGCTATGAGTTGGTTGAGCGCCAGTTTGACAGCCGCCGCAGTGCCGACCTGTCCGATGTAGTGGATGTTGGGCTGCTGGCCCAGGGCGCACAGCAGCGGCCACACGGGCCCCTCAGGAGTGACCCGCGGGTCGCTGTCCGCCCCCACCATGATGAGCAGTGTGCCCTTCTCCGCCTCCGGCTGGCTGCCCAGCACGGGGGCCTCCACGTAGACACCCCCTGCGGAGACCACCTCGGCGGCCAGGGAGGACGATTCCTTAGGGCCTGGGGGGGGGGAGGAGGGGGACGGGGAGGACGATTCCTTAGGGCCTGGGGAGGGGGGGAAGAGGGGGACGGAGAGGACGATTCCTTAGGGCCTGGGGACGGGGGGAAGGAGGGGGACGGGGAGGACGATTCCTTAGGGCCTGGGGAAGGGGGGAAGGAGGGGGACGGGGAGGGGGTAAGGGGGGGGGAAGGAGGGGGAGGGTGTAACGGGCGCTAGCTGCTTGTGGCGTGAGAGGGGGCGGCGGCGAGGAGGAGAAGGCGGTGGCAGGGGCAGGGGCGCAAGCAAGGCAGCAGGGACGAAGAGAGGGCCCGAGGAGAAGAGGAGGCAGGAACAGGAAGGACATCCATGGGAAGGTCTTGGGGCATGGCACGGCATGTGGGCTTTCGGCTTCTGCCACAGCAGGTTGGGGATGGAGGGGCATCCTACAAGCACGTATGCCCATGCTACACCCAAGGTGCGATTCCCGTATTTGTAAGCTTGGGGACACCGAGGCGCTTGTTTGTGTCTGATTATGGTTATGCCTGACGTGGAAGCGGGGGTTGACGTACCGATGGTACCCATCTGCAGAATCGTCTTCCCTGACAGGAGCGCTTTGGTGTTCGGGTCATCAAGTAGGACCTTTCGGATTGCATGCGCGTCTGCAAGCATAAGCAAGACAACGTGCGCTCCATCTACGGCCTCCGCGGCCGTCGCGCAGGGTCTAACGCCTGCTGCTGCAAGTTGGAGGGCTTTCTCCGCCGTCCGGTTCCATGCGCGTACATGGTAGCCGCAGGACACAAGCCTTTTACACATTTTCGCCCCCATGAGGCCCGTTCCGAGGATAGCGGTCTCCATGACAGTTCACAATTGCTCGTCGTCTGGCCGTTTAGCAACGAACAATTTATATACATGAGGTTCTTGTGATACGCCAAATCGTGTCCTAGAGCCTGATATGGATAGTAAGGCGGCCCTTGTCAAAATGGAAGAAAGCGCTGTACTTTCTACTTTGCGTGGATTTAAAAACTTCGTCGTGCAACATGCATCCATCCAGAACAGACAACGTAAGTGGAATTTATGTGAAATATTTTTTAAAATTCCTTTAGCTGCCATATTACGGGCGTCTGGCCCCGTCAACGATATAACATTTTCAACGCCTACTGCTCCTTTCATATTGCTAACTGTTGATTCCACGAATATACATGCAGAAATACTGTTTGGAATGATGTAATCGGAAGGTCGGGGTCCTTGACCCCACCTGCCAAAATGGAGGATGGCTAATGACGATAGCGACGTCAGTGCCATCACCCTTAGCGATGACGATGAACCGAAGCAGAAGGTCTCCGCGCCTTCAAAACCGTCTCCAAAAGCAGCTGGTGAAGCCGTCGGTAGCAGCCGGGCCGCTGTGAGGGGAGGCTCTGGAGCCAGCAAACCCAGTCGAAAAGGACCGCGCCAAAAGGACCGCGTCGCCTTCCAGCTTGAAAACGATGACGATAACGACGATGACTATGACGGTAACGGCCTGGCCGCGGACGGTCCTCCCCGCAGCGCCGGGAACGACGATGGTCCCGAGGATGACGGACCCGTCGAGGACGAGTCAAAGCCGCTGGGCTGGTCTTACTTCCGCAAGCAGGATACCAGCGAGGGCCCAGCCACATGGGCCGATGTGGACGCGGAGGAGCTGCGTTTCGTGGCGGAGAACTTGGTCCGCAGCACCACGAAACGCGCCAGCCAAGCGGACGACGTCATCCAAAAGATCTTCCAGGCAGTTCCTGGAGATGACGAAGATTCGCTGGTGCCGGATCCCCTGGGACGGGGGGTCATCGACCCGTGGACATTGACGCTGGTACGTGAAAGGGGGCCCTGTGGCTGTGGCTGAGAGGCGCTGGTACTCAGCAGTGTGTGACGTCCAACAAGCCCAAGTAGGACTCGAGGCTGCCCTTACCTTCTCATTCGTACAGCACCGGGGCAGTGGACTAATGGGCCTCGTGATGGGCCTAATAATGATAACAATGATAATTGGAGACGTAACTAGCCCCGGGGGGTATAACCGTCGGCGGGATGAACACTTTGATACATAGGCACCAGGAATGGCAAAACCAACCAAAAAGAGTAAAACAATAAGTAAATTGCGAAACCGAAGGTGGAGTCGTTCCAGTTTATGGAGGTGAAGGGGATTGCAGGTAGCTCTCGTCTCACCGGCAGCACGTCCTGCTGGGCCGCACAGCCCACAGATGCCATAGGGCCCGCCCGCCCGCCCGGCCCCCCCGCCCGTCATATTACAAGGCCTTGGGCCGTGCTGGCGTCTCTCCAGTGCTAGGTTTTGCTTTTGTGTTCTACCTGGGGTTCGCTGACTCACTCACGCCGAGGCTGCCGCTGGCAGACGCTTCAGTCGCTGCCACCAGGGTTATCATTGCCGCATGTTAGTGTTGCTGCATGTTGTTGCCGTTGATGTTGTTGCATGCTGCCCCATCCATCGTTGTCACAACGTGCAACGACAACAACAACAACAACAACAACAACAACGACATTTCACAGGGCAAGCGGTCTAAGATGCAAGGCGCCGCCAGACAGGCTCAGCCAAGTAACGCAGAGAAGGGCCTCAAGGCGGTGAGATCGGGGGCGGGGGGGAGATGATTATGGGGGGGGGGTCGCGGGTGAATGGCGGCACACAGGTTCGGACACACGGGTTGTGTGTGCGTGTGCGTGCGGGTGGGTAGGACTGTGTGTGTGTGTGTCTGTGTATAACGGCAGGATATGGCGAGGATGGTATAATGAGCGACTTCATCCCCGATATGTGTATGTGTGTGTGTGCAGTTGTCGCTGAGTGCCCCCCTATCGTTATCCTCGTTCGCCTCTGTTGTTCTTCTTTGCTACAGACCATGCGGACCTTCCGCACCGCGAGGCTGGGAGCCTTGCAGCAGCAGCAGCAGCAGCAGCAGCAGCAGCCGCCAGGCGGGGGTGAGGGAGGCGGCGGCGGTGGCGGCGGCGGCGGTGGCGGCGGCCAGCAGGCGGCTCCGGGAGGAGGGGCGGCAGGGGTCCTGGATGTGGGGGCTCGTAAGGTGCGTTGGGAGGAAGTTTGCGGGAGGCCCGCACCACCCGCCGCAGGTTTGTTTTCCTTACGGTCGCAAAGGAAGGCAGGCAGGTGACTGCGGCGGCGTCCCCTAGGGGGTGTCTGCACATTTGCACATTTGCAACATGCGCGGCTGTTGTGTCTAACGGCACCAAGCCATTAATGCCCCCCAACATGCTGCTGTGGTCACATCCTGGGCTCCGTCCGTAGAACCGAAAAAAGGGACAGGACTTACTTTTTTACTTAAGCGGCTCGGCCCGAACGTATGGTTCGACACTAACCTGGTTTGGCGCCAACAGGGTTTGACTTATAACAGGGTTTGACTTATAACAGGGTTTGACTTATAACAGGGTTTGACTTATTATCCAGCATGGTGCTATACCATAATGTTTTACGATAGGATCCCGGTTGGGTTGGGGGTTATGGGGGGCCGGGGGCACCGGTGGATGGGGTCTACTGCCGGGTTTTAGGAGGCAGCCATTGCGGGGGGAGGGGGCCGTGCTTAAGGAGGCCGTGTCGGTATGGGGCGGTGTGTTTTGATGTCCTCAATGATCACCCCGTGGGTCGCCACCACGTCGGCAGTTAGTTGTATCTTGTACGCGTAAGCAGTGTCATGTAATTCCCCTCTACGTTTCACTACCATTACTACCACCACCACCATCACCACCACAACCACCACCATCACCACCACCATCACCACCACCACAACCACCACCATAACCACCACCATAACCACCACCATAACCACCATGACGTCCACAGGTCCTTCCCAACCAGGAGGGCTTTGACCCGGAGGCTTACCTGGCTACATTCCACTCGGTGAGCGGTTTAAGATAAGTTAAATAAGTTTGCGGCATGAGTACGACCGGAGAGTCGAATGCCGTACCTGACAGGGGCAGCATGTTTAGGAGGAGGAAGAGAAAGAGGAGGAGGGAGATAAGGCTGGTCCATGAAAAACGCGTTATTATTAAGCGGCGCAGCGCGATCGCTGCCCGCTTCTTTGCCCTGCGTTGCCTCGTCTGCCTAGACGATTGGGCGACTGTTCACCACGTCCAGGGCTGCGTGCCTTCTTACTATTACTCCTAGACCCCCTAGACCTCCTAGAAGGGCCATTCTCGCGGCCACCAACACCCTCCGTGAAATCGCTGTGCTCTCTACACTGCACTGCATTTCCCCGACCCGATCTCTGTATGTATATCTGTATATATGTATGCGTGCATGTATGTATGTGTGTTGCAGAGTGTGCATATGTTTGTATGTATGTACCTATGTATGTACTTATGTATGTATGTATGTATGTATCGCAGGAGAGCAGCATGACCCAATTGGAGAAGGGCCTGCGGGCCCTTAGTCGGGAGCTGTCTGAGCGGACAGGCCAGCTGAAGCTCCTCATTCGCAATAACTTCGACCGGTTCATCAACTGCAAAGATGCCATAGACGACATCCATGCCAAGATGCGCAAGACGCTCGTCCGAGGTGGCGCTGCGGGCGGTGCGGGCGGTGCGGCCGCGGCATCGCCGTTGGCGGCAGGGCCAGGCGCGGCACAGCCCTCTACACTTCACCACCAACAACAGCAGCACCAACAACAACAGCAGCAGCAGCAACAGACCATTGCCACTGACAAGGTCTTTCGTTCCCTGGAACAGGTAATGTAAAAAAAAGGACGGGGACCAACCCTCTATAGTGAAGAAAAAAGACGAGCTTTTTGTTTTTCCTTTTTTTTTGCCCCCACCTAACCTAACCTAACCTAACCTATATTTTCGCCATGACACACTACCTGACACAGAAACACACGGTCACGTCAACTCTCTGGACGCGCGGATGGCTGCTTCCCGCCGTGTCCATTTCGTTGTGTGCTGTGGTGTTTCTCTCTAAGAAGGCTGTTTTTCTGGCGGGGTTTCTGGTGTTTTTGGCCGGACTGTTCGCTGGACTTGGCTTTCATCCTCACCGCCCTGGATCCTCCTCGTCTTACCGGGATTTCCAGAATCTTGATAATCTTATTATACAGGAGAACAACGCATGTCGTGTCGTGTCGTGTCGTATCGCTGGCGGTGGGCTCTTTTAGGGCTGGCCGTTGTTCTCTGTCCCCCACCTCCCGCCCCTGGAGCAGCCCCTCTGCCTCCCTGCAAGCGACCCAGTACTGCGGGCTACTGTTTGCAAACATGACCCCACACCCGGACGGTGGTCGTCTCTTTGCGTGTGTGTGTTGTGTGTGTGTACGAATCAGGTGGAGGTTCAGGCACGCCGTACCTTTGCGCCCATCCTGGAGCGCGCAGCCAAGGCAGACCGCATCCGGGCGGTGGTCAGTCTGTTGCGGCGCTTCGACCACCTTTTCGCGGCGCCGCAGCGGGTCATGGAGCTGGCTGGCCGTGGCGAGCTCGAGCAGGTGAGTCGGGGTAGGGGGCTCAAGCGGCCAATCCAATGGTCAAGGGAGAGCTGGTCTAGGTAACTTAAAAGAGACAGATTTGCGGCGGGTAAAGGGCTGGAGGGGAGGCAGCTGGATTACTTGGCGGGGAGCAGGGCCGGGTCTGAGGAAGACGAATCGAGCCGAGCCCTGGCAGATGGGCTGGTGGATGGATTACGGGGGATGTGACTGCGAGCGACGCCGCGGCTTTGACCGAGTTGACCATTTTTTGAACACACTCCTCTTTCTCTTCCTGTTTCGTTTCCGCTTTTTGGTTTTCCTTCTTTGCGTGTTGCTTCTACTACGTGATCTACTACGTGATCTACTACTACGTGATCTACTACGTGATCTACTACTACGTGATCTACTACGTGATCTACTACTCGGTGTTTGATCTTGTTGTATGCTTGTATGTATGTATGTATGTATGTATGTATGTATGTATGTATGTATGTATGGTCAGGTGGTTCGGGAGTACAGGCGCGCCACCATGCTCATCAGGCCGACACCCACCACGGCACGAGTGTGGGTCAGCTTGTACGCGGAGATTGAAAAGGTGAGCGCTAAAGCTCCCCCGCCCCACCTCCCCGGTCTGCGGGTGGGGTCGGGTTGCGGTTGGCGTCGGGTTGCGGTTGGCGTCGGCGTTGTTGGTCATGGCCATTGGTGGTGGTGCTGCTCCTCCGTCCTTGTTGTTATTGCTGCTGCTGCTGCTGCTGCTGTTGTTGTTGTTGTTGTTGCCGCTTGGAGGACCGTCCGGAGTTGGGCACACCTGGCGTAGTGTACATGGGGGGCATTGCCGGAGTCAATGCATGGCATGACGAGGGTAGTACGAACGTTAGTTACGAACGTTAGTTACGAACGTACGAACTTACGAAAGAAAGAAAGAAAGAAAGGAGGTGAACAGGGCGAGTCTTGGAGGACATCCACCCCCCCTAGACCTGTTCTTAACTACAAATGCCAGACAGAGAATTGAACCTGAGTTTCGGGCGCATCGACACCTCCTCTTTCCCTGCCCTCCGTACACTCTCCGTACACTCTCCGTACACCTCCTCGCAGCGCGTCACGGAGGTCTACTTGGCCGTCAAGCAGCTCGTCACCGAGCCACCGCCCGAGGACCGACCCATGGGTCAGGACGGGCCGTTGCCAACATCCGCTGCGCTGCTGCTTAGCGGCAACAACAACACCCCCCCAATCAGCTCACTGGTGTCATCCGCCGCCACCATCGGCGGGGTTGCGGTCGGTGCGTTCGGGGAGGACGCGGCGCGGCAGCGCCTGTCCCTGCTGCCCGACTACTTGCTGTTCCTCGCGCTTATACGGCAGGTGGGTGTGCGGGTACGGCAATTGTACGGCGTAACATGGCATCGTACCTCTTAGAGTACCACAGTGCGGTGAAAGAGTCAACATGCGTGCATGCCTGCATGCTAGAAAAAAGGGCTCTGGAGAACATGAGAGGGGTATCGTGCCGTGTGTGTGTGTGTGTGTGTCTCTGTGTGTGTCTCTGTGTGTGTCTGTGTGTGTGTGTCTGTGTGTGTCTGTGTGTGTCTGTGTGTGTCTCTGTGTGTGTGTGTGTATGTGTGTGTATGTGTGTGTGTGTACCAGCGGGTCAGCTGGCCGCGTCGTGTAGAGCCCGGGAAGGGATATAGCTGAGGGGGACTACGTGGGGTCCTCGGGGGGGGTTTCCCCGACTTCCAGAGACTCAAGCAGGGAATGCCACATTTCATGTGCCTGGTCTTGAGGCCCTGTCTTCTCTTTATATTGGCTGTGAGCTAATGGCTGTGAGCTAATGGCTGTGAGCTAATGGCTGTGAGCTAATGGCTGTGAGCTAATGGCTGTGAGCTAATGGCTGTGAGCTAATGGCCGTGAGCTAATGGCCGTGAGCTCCTCCCGGTCCCGGCGTGCGCTCTTCCGCTGTTACCAGGAGCGGTTGCCCGCTGCCCGCGGGGAGGACCCCGTGCAGCTGTACGTCAAGCGGCTAGAAACACACGTGGTGGCGAGAATCCAGGTGTGATCTAAGGGGGCGGGAGTGCTGGGGGCGGGGGGAATGGAGTCCGGGGGAATGGGTCGATCCATCGGTCGGTCGTTGATCGGTCGGTCGGTTGGTCGTCGATCGATTGATTGGTCGGTCGTCGATCGGTTGGTCGGTCCGTCGCCTGACACACGGGTCGGTCCGCTGCGCCGACGAACCACAGGCTTGCGACAAGCAGCACACAGAGCAGCTGGGACAGCTGGTTACTGCATGGATGCGGGCCACCACCATGTCCACCACCATGTCCACCGCCGCCGGGGGAGGGGGGGGCAGCGGTGGCAGCAGCGCCGCCGCGGCAGCGGCGGCGGCGCTTCGCGCCGCTTCCAGCGGCGTCGCGTCCCTCCAGGCGTCCCTCACCGCGATCCCTCGGCTGGATCAGCCAGGGACTCAGAGCTCAGGCCGCCGAGGCGACGTCGCGGCGGCTACCGGCCCCCAAGCCGGATCTACGGATGCGGATGCGACAGCGGCCGCGAATGGCGCTCAGGACGGCCGCGGCAACAGTGCTGGCGGTGATAGGGGTCGACCGCCAAGAAGTCCGTTGGGTAAGCGAGGCGGCGGCAAAGGAGGCGACGAAGGTGGCGACGATGATGATGGCGATGGCGACGACGGCGACGGAGGCGACGGAGGCGACGTGGACCCAGGGGGGGTGTCCTCAGACGATCGAGACGACGATCTGGATGATGAAGGCGAGGCGGCGGAGGCGGCCTTTTTGCAGTGGCAGCAAGGGGGCTTACTAGTGTCCGTGCCGTCGTCCGCATTCCTCAGCAGCAGCAACACCGCCAACCTGCCGTACCACATTCGTACGGAACTCCAACGGCTCGTACAGGAGCCAGGGGGGCCGACCGGCGCCGCTGGCGGATTCGCCACGAGTCCGTGTAGTTATCCTCTTTGTTATGGCGGCAGCGGCACTGCCGCCGTTGCCACGGAGCCCCTGCCGTCGTCGGCGTTTACGCCGGAGCCGCACCTGACGTCAGCGCAGCGGCAGTGGGTGTCGTACGTGTGTTCGAGTTCGGCGCTGCTGACGTGGAGCGTGCCGGGGCTGTGGGCCACGTGCAACAGTCCCAAGTACGGCAACAACGCCGATCTGAACGATGAAGCCAGGGGGGTCTTGGAGCGGGGGCCGTCAGTGGCTCGTCGACTAGTAGAGAACTTGTGCTCCAAGTACGCGGTACGACTCAGGTAGGAGCAGAGTACATGACAGGATATGAAAATAGTGGCATGATCGCATGATCGGATTCTTGGCCGTACTCTGAGCAGGACGGACAGGTGGATGCGAACGCGGCTCATTGCCGCCCCCACGCTGGAAGTGAAAGTAAAGTGAGGGTAGTGTGATCTGCCCAGCCCTCCTGGCTATAGGAGAGGCTTACTGGGAGACTTAATGGCTTAAACCTCCAGGCCACGGCCTGCTCTTCTTCTAGCAGGGAAATTTCCTTCGTCGGCGTTTTTAGCGGCACCATGCGTCTGGCAAGGCTCTAATCAATCTATCTATCTATCTATCTATCTATCTATCTATCTATCTATCTATCTATCTATCTATCTATCTATCTATCTATCTATCTATCTATCTATCTATCTATCTATCTAGTGGTGAGGAGTAAGCCGGCAATGACAGGAGTCCCAGTGGGATCTGTCTGATAACTGATCGCCCCAACACGGCCGAAATCCAGAATTGGATTGATGGGGGTAAAATGGGAGCAAATAGTTGGTCAAAACCCCAACGATTTCCGCAAAAGCGAATTAAACAAAAACGCTAATCGGATCCTACGGCAGCAGCTGCGGTAAAGATACCTGCAAACATTAATCAACGCCTCAGGATTAGGGGGCCCTACACCGCTGCTCCTCTCTCCTCCGCACTGCCCAGTAGTTGGGAGCCGTTGTAATTGTCTCTCCCGACGTGAAGAGAGAGAGTGTGTGTGTGTGTGTGTGTGGCTGGCATTTACCGCGGTTTTGCCGAACGGAGCCAAACCTTAGAGAAGTCACCGTGAAGCTGTTTCTCTGCCATGCCGCTGCCTGTTCGCTCTCTAACCGCAGACGGGCTGCTCAGTCTTTGGCGCGGGCGGGGCCCATGCAGCCGGGCTTGCCGCTCATCATCAAGGTACGGCAGCCGTCGTACGTGCGCGTGTGCATGTGCGTGTGTCTTATCCTACGATGTGTTACGATCAAGGAAAGGGGAAGGGGAAGGGGAAGGGGAAGGGGAAGGGGAAGGGGAAGGGGAAGGGGAAGGGGAAGGGGAAGGGGAAGGGGAAGGGGAAGGGGGAAAGACGAACCACACACGATTGAAGCTGCTGCCAGGGCAAGAGAGTAGCAAACGTAAAAACTGGGAAGGGGGAGGGCTGTTCCTGGTCGATTCCAGTTCCAGGGCGCACCTTTGTCGCAATCGTTCCAACCGCTGCCGCTCGAAAGTATAATTGCGGTTGTCTTTGCTCTGTCCCCTCTCGCCCGGCTGCTGCTGAGGTTTCGCGTTCTCGTGCAGGTTACGTCCAGGACCCGCTTGTTGTCTCGGAATGCAAAACCTCCTAAAATATTTTATATTATAAATTATATATATATATATTTTTTTTTAGCTGGAAATTTAATCTGGGGATCTCCTTTTCCTTTTTTCCTTTGTTGTACTCATGAGTCATGACGCGGCGTCCCCGTCCCTGCCAGGATGCCAGCCACTTATGGACGTCGTTGCGCCGTGTGGGCATTGGCGCCCGCGCGCTGTCCCCCCTGCGCGGTGCCGTAATGGCAGCCCTGCGGGCGCATGTACGGGTGCTAGACGAGCACCTGGGGGGTCTGCCGCAGCTGCTATTCGGAGCAGACGACTTTCGGTGCGCAAGAAATTTAGCACGTGTGTGTGTATGTGTATGTGTATGTGTGTGTGTATGTGTATGTGTATGTGAACCGGAGGGGGCTCTGAAAGGGTTTGTTAGTATGCTGCTCTTAGGCACTGCGTGCTTAAACAGACGAGGGAGGACGACGATGGTCGGCCACCACGTAACCGCACTAGTAACGATTTACCGTCCACAGCCCCCTTCAGGCTTGTAAGGACGCGACCCCGCATGCACCCGTGTGCATAGTGCATGGAACTTGTTGTAACATGTATAACTTTAGTATGTGTAGCACCAGGACCAGGCCCTGAAAGGGGTTGAGAGGTGTGAGGGGAGGTGTGAGGGGAGGTGTGAGGGGAGGTGTGAGGGGAGGTGTGAGGGGAGGTGTGAGGGGAGGTGTGAGGGGAGGTGTGAGGGGAGGTGGGAGGACGTTTTTCCTGCTGCTGGAAGGGAAAAGGCTGCGGGTCCCTGGCGTGGGCCAAATCAATATTTATTCAGTAATCAATTTTATGTTTTTTACCAATTTCATTTTTCCATCGTGTTAGGATTTATTGTGGTTCACGCATCCCTTGCCTGCCTTCTCCAACCCTCCGCCTCGTCCCTCCTTCCTCCTCCGCCTCCTCCTCCTCCTCTTCCTCTTCGTCGTGCATTTTGTTTATTTTCCTCATTTTCTTTATTCCTCCCTCCCTCCCCCCCTCTCCCCTCCCCTCCCC